ATTCTTGGTTCAATTTACAGATTAAAGGGCAAAACAACAGCAGCTCTGCATCCATGAATCTACTGCTATCTCATCTTCCAGCTCTGCAAGCAAGAAAGACATTTGACATCTGACAAGTTTTTGACTTGTTTGAACGGTTGAATGAGTTTGTCCAAAATAATCTATTCTGCAGAAATGTTCTGATTGCTACCTGTTACCCTTCTGCTGAAAGTAACCCACCAACAAGAGCTAAGGCTAATGCTATGCTGTGCTGATTGACTTGCTAAATACACAGGAACAGGAGTATGTTCTTGGTTCAATTAAACCTCATCATCTCTGCATCAGAGCATTGCAGATGGTGAAAGAAGTGAAATAGCATGGACAGATATCATACAACCTGCAGGGATTACAGCCAGTGCTGAATGAAGCTAACAAAACACAAGGTCTGAAGCGTGGCACTCAATGCTTGGCCTCGGTATATTGCAGAGCTATTCATGGTTGAGCTCAAATAAAGTGACTTGTATCAGTGATGGTTGACAACTGTGGTTTCTTGTAGGCATTCCCAGTGGTTGCTTGTCTTCTGCTCCAGCTGTAGGCACCACGAGTGCAAAATAATGCATCAAGATTCAATCACGATATAAATGCTGCTTATCTCCTGTTCATAGGTTGGCCTCAATTATTATATGATCAAATAGGAGCATGCTCTTCCTGACAATCTTTCAAGGGTAAGGAGGTGAAAGGATGGAGATGGAGACCCTGCAACCCCATCATGGAGGTATTGATGGCAACGGCTGAGCTCTTAAATCACCATGTGACAGCCATGGGAGTAAAAGATCAGCCGACAGGGTGGTTTACCGATGCGTCCCTTTCTTGCAGACCCCCCCAACACCTATACTACAGCCATTACAGTGACTTCAGAGGTATAGCATGTCTTCAGACATTTGATTCTTAATCTGTCATCGTTCTCGATGTTTCCCTTGTGATATCTGCATATTATAGTCAGAGAAACATGAACGAACTCCTTCGCTTCTGTTACTGCAGAGTCAATAATCTCTTTGAGAACCGACACAATAAAGTAGAAGTTAATCCGAGCGACTCTCTCTCTCTCTCTCCTTTCTTGATGGATGCCTAATCTACAGCGCAAGGTTCTTTCCACGTGCTGCAAGCTGCTGCTCTCTTCTTCGTCAATGGGATGACCGAGGACTTAAAGTGTACAGAGGAGCAACAGTCGACGTAAAGGCTTTTCCTCGCAGCAGCGTCACGCATCTTTCCCTTCATCGCTTTCCTGCCACGTGAAATGGGTGCAGCTTGCATGCATGCGTCGGTGCGTCCGTCGCCACTTGTGAGACGGCACATTAGTCCTCTCTTTCCCGTGCTTCCAAGCTTCGGCTCGTGGAGCCATGGCCGGTGCTGCCATGGACACGGTGTTCCTTTGAACCCGGTCAATCTTATCCTTGGGGAAATCGTGTCCGGAGGAAGCCAAGCCATGGCGAAGACTTTATTTATCGGCAGCGACTAGATTGCACGAATCCAGCAAAATAGAGTCAACGCGTATGCGAATATAAATACTGTGGGTGCCACGTCAGCTCGGAGGTGGTGGGTGTACCGACCCGACCCGTTCGCTATCAAAATGAGATATATTATAAATAACCACATTTAAAAAAGGAGTATACTTTTCATAAATAATGTAAAAAATTGTTTAAAATAACAATATTTTTTAGGCCCAATGTGTTGAATTAATTATGAACAAACATTAAAAAAATGGAACCTTCAATTGAGTGTTGGATCTAAAGAACCATAATCTAATCAATTTGACCACTGCTTACAAGATGGCAATAAAGATCATATTGACACATTAGAATGAGGGATTGGGTCTCTCATTTTTTTTTTTTTAATATTTAAGTTCAACAATCAAACAAATAATGAGATGAGGTTTTCCATATATGTATATTACTAGTTTCTTAATGATTTCAATAATAATAATAACAACTTGTCTTCATTTAGACATATTGCACCCAAAAAGTTTGCCTTAAATTATTAGCTCGACAATGTGACCACACATTATAATTATGTGGTTGGTAAGGGACCTTTTTTTGTCTTTTCCTTCTCGTGCCTTATTTATTCTTTGACATTTTCTAAGTAAGATTAAAGTAATTGATATGAAACTCAGAAGGAAAAAGAAACAAGTGAATAATCTAATAATCTATTAGCCCTCATTTCTACTAATCTTATGTATATTAAACAAAACAATCAAATCATATGGTCGGCATGAAATCTCATTGTGAGGCCTACCCTACCTAATTGATAAGGAATATAAAATTAATTACTCATCATTCGTCACCCAAACTTTTATGTCAAGCCAATACTCTCCTGTCGATGTCCACGAGAATAGAAGCCTAAAAAGCAGCTTGGGTTGGTTATTGAGTTGTCGAGTTACATCCCTTGAAAAATATTCATAGTAATATTCTCGAAAACCTAAAAAATAGTTCGAGTAAGTTATAAATTATTTTCTCCACATGATTCCTTATAAGATATTCTTCATCCTTAAGGTTAGTATAGAAATACACCCTTAACCCTGATTAAAAGAGAAAAAAAAAAGATAGAATTCAATAAAAGCAAAGGGATCGAATTGGGAACATCTTGACCTCGATCTTTGTATCGAAAATGAGTCTAAAAAAATTATACTTTACCCAGATGACTTCATGTCAATGATATTTTTCTTTAACACTAATGATTCGAAAATATTATGAGAAAAAAATGATAGTATCATAATACATCCATAATGCTGGGTGTAATATGCTTTCGACTTAGATTGCAATTACAAATGATTTCATCAACTAGATCGCCGGATGTAAGTCGTCGTCCCGATTCGAGCAAAGTAGATCAGTCAACCTTAGTTGGCACCCCTCATATGATGCTCGAGTTGATATGGTATTCCCCCTAATCGAAAGAAAGTAAAAGAAAAGAAGGTTTCTTTGGTTGAAGCGAGTGAATGTACACCTCAGGTAATTACCGCGTAGGTAGTTGTTTATGCAACTCGGACGTCGACGACGAACACAAAAGTCTCAATGTCACGTTAAATTTACCCCTCACCGACCCATGCTTACTTTAATTCCCACACAAGCCGAATTCTTGATAGAGAAGGCCAAGTACGTGTGGAAAATATGCTCTCATTGGGTCTGCTTGTCTTGATAGGGAGAGAGAGAGAGAGAGAGAGAGAGAGAGAGAGAGAG